TGGGTTCTAGTCCCAGCTCGGGAGGGGAGCGCAGTGTAGTGGTCAGAGCAGGGAGGCTGGGAACCAGGACTCCTGGGATCTTGGCGGGCGAGCTCACCCTCTGATACACGAACTGGGTCTTCTTGCCCTTCTCAGCGGCCTCATCCCTCCACTCTGTCAGCCACTGCACGAAGAGGGGATTAGGGCAGGCGGGCACCGGCTTCTTCCGCACCAGCCGCCGGGGGGCGGCCATCTCCGCAGGTGCCACCTGCTGCAGCCGGGGCAGGCGCAGCGCCCCTGGGGACAGAGGAGACAATGGGACACGGGGCCTTTCCCCTCTAGGGGGCGCTGGCTCCGATCCAGCCCCAGAGTGGGGATGCGGGGGCTGCCCCCGCCTGGGGACACGGGGGGGAGTCCTGGCTCTGCCCCTCCCCCCCGATCAGAGTCGCTCTTTAGCGGGAGGGGCCAGCCCCCCAAAGGAGATGGGAGGGGTCCCCCGGACTCCTGGGTTCCCGCTAACCCTACAGCTGCAGCATGGGGGAGACCCCCACTCTCTGCCCGCGGGGGGGCACCGCGACCCCTGCGCCGGAAGCGGTTCCACCCTTTTCCCGCCGGGCCCCAGCTTCTCTTGCACCGCCCCTTGCTGCGGGGAGCCCAGGGCTAGAGTGTCCCTGCGGGAGCTCCAGCCCCATCTGGCGGCTAGAGAACGACGAAAACTCAGCGATGCCCAAGGTCTGCGGGTGCCTCTCGGAACAGAAAGAGACCGGGGGTGAGGGGCACTGGCAGAGCTGGGGGGAGCCCAGAGCTGGGGTAGCAGGAGGCTGTGGGTTGGGGGTGGGGGGCACTGGCGGAGCTGGGGGGAGCCCAGGGCTGGGGTAGCAGGAGGCTGTGGGTTGGGGGGCACTGGCAGAGCTGGGGGGAGCCCAGGGCTGGGGTAGCAGGAAGCTGTGGGTTGGGGGAGAGGGGCACTGGCAGAGCTGAGGAGGCAACTCCCCATGCCCACAGAGACCCCTCTAGCTGCCTCTCTCCTTCTTAGCTCCTTCTATCGCTTCCCTCTCCCCGGCAGTGCAGTGGGGCTCCCCTGATCTCGGCCACCAAGCAGGGGGGTCAGGAAGCACTAGGGGGCAGGTGCCTTGCTCAACCCCCATCCCTCCCTGGCCAGGCTACAGGGCCAGTGGCTCTCAACCTTTCCAGACTACTGTAACCCTTTCAGGAGTCTGATTTGTCTTGCATACCCCCAAATTTCACCTCACTTAAAAACTACTTGCTTACAAAATCATACATAAAAATAGAAAAGTGTCACAGCACATTATTACTGAAATATTACTTACTTTCTCCTTTTTACCATACAATTATAAAAAAATCAAATGGAATATAAATATTGTACTTTCATTTTGCTTCTCGGCTCTCTATGAGCTGAGGGGTGAAAACATTATATGTAGAGCAATATATACAGGTCATTGTATGAAATTTTAGTTTGTACTGACTTTGCTAGTGCTTTTTATGTAGCCTGTTGTAAAAGTAGGCAAATATCTAGATGAGCTGATGTACCCCTGGAAGATCACTGCTATAGGGCTTTTAGCCTGGCTGGGGAGGGGGTAAGGGATAGGGGAAGAGGCAGCATGTGTGTGAGAAGAGGAATGTACATATTGATGAGTAGGTTCATGCATATTCATGAAGTTGACCCAGATGGGGCCTTCAAGGTAGGGTGACCATATTTCCCAAAGGGAAAATGGGACACAGTGCAGGGCCTGGCCCGAGTGCCCCCCCCCCACCCCACGGGGCTGGCCTGAGCTGCTCACCCAAGCCCTGCCTCCCCCTTCCCGTGCACAGCTGGGGCTGGGGTCACTGCTCACCTGAGCCCTGCCTGCCCCCTGCACGTTTATCCACACCACACCACACCTTTTTGACAAAAGTGGGCATTTGTCGTTTGCTCTTGCCAACTGATGAAGTCAAAAAAGTCGGGATGGCCAGGACAGGGCTTAAAAGAGGGACTGTCCTGGCCAAAACGGGACATATGGTCAGCCTACTTCAAGGGGTCATGCTGAGAAAGAAGGGGAACCAACCTGCCCCCACCATGGGAGCCACTGACCTTTCTTCAGATCATCCTTCCCCACCAGCTCTCTCCAACCCAGATGACTCCCTCCAACACACACACATACAGGTGGTTTCTCAATTTGATCTATGAGGGGGATAATCTAGGAGCATTTGGTTAATCCCTTGGGATAGATATTCTTTTGCCTGGAGACAGTTCTGCCCCGCAGACAGCCCTTACGCAGCTCTGAGACCCAGGTGTCTCTGGGGTGGGGCACAGGGACTGTTTATACAGGGATCCCTCCCTTGGTTCTGAGTCAGTTTCCTGTGGGGTGGTGTGCAGGGGCTGTTAATACAGGGTTCGCTGGTGTGGTGGGCTCAACATTGGTTTTGGGGGAGAGCACTCCCTGCTGAGTCGTGCAGGATGCCTGAAACAGAAGCATAGAGAGGTTTGGCACTGCCTGTTAACTCTGGAGCATAATGGTGACCACTTATATGTGACGTAAATTGTGCTTGGGTTTTGGCCCAAAGAATGGGAGCAGCAGTAGGATTGTACCTAAGAGGTATAACCGGGGTTGCTTGTAGGGTTGGATGAACAGGGCGGTCACCTTGGCTGCTAACTTCCAGGGGGTACTGTGCCACACAGCCTTTTTCCCCCCTTTCCTGCAGCCACTACCTCAGGGGAGTGCAGTTGAGGAGGTACCCAAAATGTTTTCAACCCTGCCAGACAAAATGCCTAGGATTGCTCCTGGGTACAGCCCAGCCAAACTATCCCTTTGGCAGTATTGCCAACCCCAAGTGTTCAAAAGTCATGAGATTGGCTTTAAAATCATGAGGTTATGTAAACATAACCGATTTGGTGTTTTTTAGCTGTCTTCTGCTTTTTGAGCCTTTAGGGTGCGGGTGCACTGTGTCCCATTTTGAAGCTTTCTCCACTGCCACAAGGGCTAGAAACGTATTGTTCTTTAAGCATGAAGGCTGAAGTCCTAACATCTCCACTTGACTCCAGGAGTTGAGGCTTTAAGGAAAACTATAATTACCATGACAAAATCATGAGAGTTGGCAACACTGCTCCGGACAAGGCTGGGTCTGGGCAGGGGCCAGAGTAATCAGCCAGGGAATGGAAAGGGAGCGGGGACTCCAGAGCAGCTCTGGGTCCCTCCCCCAACGCCTAGGACCAGTGGGGGGGGCTTCCCGGCTGCCCTAGATGTCCTTATAAGGAGTGGATGCTGCAGGAGGCGGGGCCTATTTTTGTGCTGCTGTTCACGCCCTTATTTGGAAGCGACGCAATGATGGGGGGAGGGAACAGAGCCAGGAAGGGGAAGGGGGCGGGTTTAGGGAGAGGCTCAGCCAACCAGCAGCCGGTCTTCGGATTCGGCTGCCCTAGAGCCTGTCACTCTATATACATACCCCCCCCCTTTGCACCGCTTCCCCCACCCAACCCCCCAGCCCCGGGACCAGCAGTTCCTTAACAACCTGATTTATTATCGCAACTGTTGTTTTATTTCTAGGCGGGGTCCCACGTGAGAGGTCGGACCTCAGCCCCTGGGGAGGATCCCGCTACCAAGCCCCTTGGCCACAATCCTGGGCTCCCGGCTCCCACCCACCCTGCTCTAACCCACTAGAGCCCACACGCCACCCAAAGCCGGGGCGAGAACCCAGGAGTCCGGGCTGCACCACCTGCTGCCCCCAGCACGGCAGCGGGTCTAAGTCTGGCCCCAGCCCAGGGCCCTGCAGGCGGCGTGGAGATGATTAAAGATCATCATCCCATTATTCAATGGGGTCTACGTTACCCATGATGCACTGCAACTGCAGGACACCCCGCTGTGGTTTCTCTCAGACTAAAGGCGCGCCAGCGCCGCCCTGCCCCCGGGACTACATCTCCCATGATCCCCCGGACTGCAGCTCTCATCCTTCCCTCGCGCTCCCCGGCTCCTGCCCAGCGGCACGGACTCCATTTCCCTGCGTGCCCCACGGCCCGCGCCGCCCGGAAGTGCCCCTCCCCCATAAAGCGGAAGCGGGCGGCCGGTTGGTTTGGGGCGGGGCAGTACTTGGTCTCGACACCGACCGACAAGCTGCTGCAGAGCGAATCCCGCGCAGCCCGGACCGTGATCCCCCTGCCCGCAGCACCATGGTGAGACCCCGGCCCGCCGCCGCCATCTTGTGCCCCGCGGCCGCCATCTTGCCTTTGGGGCGCCTATGGGATCCATAGGGGAAGGGGAGCGTGGCGTACCCGCCACCTCTGTAGGGGGCGCCTGTAAGAGCTATCGGGGATCCCGCTGTAGGATCCGATCTCGCCCTCCACACCACCTGTGGGGGAGGTGGGGCGCTGCTCTGTACGGGATTTCTATGAATGGGAGCTCCAAGGGGAGCCTCGTTTCCCCTATGGGATCTATAGGTGGCTGTTTGTCTGCTCCCTTCTGTGTCGGGAGGCCCGTGTAGGGACCATGGGACTCTCGCCCTTTCCGAGAGGTTCCCTCCTACCTCCATAGGATCCATCTGGAGGTGCCTTTGGAATTCATAGCCGGTGTCTGCTTCCTTTTCCCGTGTGGGAGTGGGATCCCTATGAGGGGCTCTTATAGGCTTTCTATAGGGCCTGTTCTGGCCACTTCTCTTATAGGTGCAGGTGTGTGGCAGGATGCAGATGGTGCACCCCTATGGGTGAGTCCCACGTGGGGCTGGCCCCTTCTCCCAGCCTCTGATGGGGTGGGGGCTAGTTCTCTCTTAGGGGGCAGATTGTTCCAGGGGCTGCTATTGAATCAGAGCATGGGGGTTGGCAAAGGGAGATTTCCCCCCCCCCCACCCCCCAGCATGGGGTTTGAGGCTTGCCAGCCACCCCTAGTCCCATTTCTTCTTCCTGATGTCCTAGCTCCACTGTGGTCTGTGGCATCCTGTGACCTCAGGACTCCCCTTGTCTGCAGTAGTTATCTTTCCACTGCTACCCTTGGGGTGGTGGGATGCAGGTGATGTTTGATGTGTCGAATGGGGGCCAAATCACTAATGGGTGGGGCCCCCAACGGGGGGCTGCCAGTGAGATGTGGGCTGGATACAGGAATGGGTGGGGAGATTCTCTGGCCTGTGTGGTCTGAAAGGGGGCTATAATGGGCCCTTCTGACATTAAAATCTGAGTCTAAGCTGAACCCATCTTTGTGCCCACATTGTCCTAGCTCCCCCCGATCAGTCAATCCACTGTGCTGCTCTCAGCTCCCCCTCCAAGTCTTAGCACCCCACTGCTCCCCTCTGATGTGCTATGATAGTGGGTGAGCATGTTGCTCTGCAAAATGTCTGACTCCGTCTCTGCCTCGTGCTCCCAGCCCCGATTTCCCAGCTTGCCCTGGCCAAACCTGCTTCAGTCAGGGCCACCAGGATGCCCTCATGGCCCTTGACAGCTCTGGACTGTCTTGAGGGGTGGGGGTGCTCCCATGCAGCCTATAGCGCCCTCCCAGTGCCCGTGTGCCTGAGGACAAAGATGCTGGTGGGAGGGGGATGGGAAGAGGTGCTTGGTTCGCCTGGTGCCTGGGCTCCTAGAATTGCCTGACTGGGGGATAAGCGGTGAGCACCGCTTGGAGGGAAGGTGGGGAGACTTGGGGGTGGAGGGTACAGGGAAATCTGAGGGTGATTAGCAAAGGGTGCCGGCAGTGACCCGTGAACAGTCTCATTTCTTTGGCAGAATCAGTAGCATTGATTAGTATTTACAGGGTTAAGGATTTTGCCATGGGTTCAGACAGGGCCGCTGGGCCTGGGAACAAAAGCCCTTTAGCCTCCTATGGGCCCACTCGATTAGGAGGCTGGGGAGCCGCTCCTGGCTGCAACCGCCTCGCTGCAGGGGTGGATTTATTGGCTGAAGTATCTGGGCCCAGGCCTGGGGATCTGCTGACTCTCTCCGGTGCTGGTCCCTGACAGGCCCTGTTCTGAGCCCTGCATTGCCCCCATGCCCCTTTCATTTCCCCCCTCCCCCCAGCAGCGGCCGCTGGAGCAAAGCGGCTGGTGCTTCCCCTAAAACAGCCTCCCTTTGCCATATAAGAGCATATCGCTGTGCTGCTTTGCCGGCCAGCTGCTGAAGCCAGACTCTGCTGAAGGGCCGCCTCGGATCTTGGCTGGACCCTTGGGATCATCCAGTGGGGGGCCTGGGCTGGGTGGTTAGAACTTGGGGTGCTCCCAGCTACTCAGATTGGCCCCCCTGCTGCCAGGCAGTGGAGTGTGAAGTGCTATGGCAGGGCCCCAAATAATGAGGCTCTCGGTCTGAAGGTGTCTAGTGGGGGTGGGGAGAAGGGTGGGCTCAGTAGCGTGGGGGGTGCTGTGCTCTGAACCCCAGGCCAGGAAGGAGGCTGTTGTGGAGGCTCAACAATCTGTCTCTTGGTGCAGTAAAGCAGTTGCCTTGGGGGAGGGGGAGAATGGGGGAGGGGAGGTAGCCATGAGTGGGGGGGTGGGGTTGGTTTCCTGGAGTGAATGAGGAGTGGGAGGTAGGGTAGGCACAGGGTAAGCAGGGGAAATAGGGGATGGCAGGTGTGGGGGGGACTGGCAGGCACCGGGGGTAGCGGTCTCCTGGGGTGAATGGGGGTTGGCAGGGCTCTGGGGGAGCAGGGGATGGGGGAAGGGTTGTCGCCCCTCCCTGCAGATGGTTGCTTGCAGCAGGTCGCTTGCCCCTGGGACTGTACCATGGGGGAAGGGCCCAGGCTGCTGGGTGGCGATGGGGAAGCAGCGGGCACAACCTCTTTCTGCACAGGTCACGTGCAGCGCCGTTTCCTGCGTGGGGTTTCAGGTTCCCGCCGGGGGGTGCTTGCGTAAGGCACTGACGCAGCGCTTCCCATTGTGCATGCCTCTGGCTAGGGCACCAGCAGCCCCACTTGGTTTGCTGCTGGCCCTTGTTGGAGTGTGTCTGCCCGTGTCCTGCCTGTGTAACCAGCAACGTTGTCCACTGCTTGCCCGATCCATCCCCCCCCACAACTCCAAAGCTGCAAAGCCCATGGCAGCTGCTGGGTTAAATCCTCTGGGCCCATTGGCTTGGGGCCTGGTAGAGTATGTGGCCCCCAGCACTGACATTACCTGGCCCCCAAGGCCTCTTGGTGGGGGCAATGAGTGGATCCCCCAACAGTCCCCCTCTGCTTGGCTTCTGTTGTGAAGACCTGCCCCTCAGGGCTAGGAAATTCCAGTGTCTATTGCTCATGGCCCTTGGGAGTTGATGTGCTGGGGCTGATACCCCAGCAATGGGCACCTCATTACCCAGTCTTTGGGGGCTGGGGGAGCCCCTAATGCCTCCTCCTCTCTTTCTCCTCTCCCCCTTCCCCCCCCCCCCCCCCCCAGGCATCTGGCGTAGCAGTCTCTGATGGAGTGATCCAGGTCTTCAATGACATGAAGGTGCGGAAGGCCTCCACCCCTGAGGAGGTGAAGAAGCGCAAGAAGGCGGTGCTCTTCTGCCTGAGCGAGGACAAGAGGAACATCATCCTGGAGGAGGGCAAGGAGATCCTGGTGGGGGACGTGGGTGAGACAGTCGACGACCCCTATCTGCACTTTGTCAAGATGCTCCCGGAGTCGGACTGCCGCTACGCCCTCTACGACGCCACTTACGAGACCAAGGAGAGCAAGAAGGAGGATCTGGTCTTTGTCTTCTGGTAGGGCTGTGCCCCAGCCCCGTTTCCTCCAGGGTGGTACAGCACTTTTGCCCCTGCTGGCTATGCCCACCCTCTCCACCGGCTAGGGACCCCTGCTGCTAACTGCTGGGGGAGCCACACCCCTTTTCTTGGTCACTCCCTAGTCCAAACCTGGGGTGCCCCATTATCTCTGCTGGATGGGTCCATCCTTTGAGCACACCCCTGTTCTGGCCACACCCCTCTCCAGTATTGTGCCCTTCCCATCCTCCTCCAGTGCCATTCTCCCCGCTGCATCTTCTGGTAGAGCCAAGCCCCTCAGCCTGGGGTGGCCCCCTTGCCCCTCCCCTTTCTGGCCCCGCCCCTCCATCCTCAAATTCCTTCTTATGGTCCTGTTTCCTGGCTCTAACCAGGCCTCCGCCACCAGGCCTGAGAAGCCCCCTGGTTCCTCCTCCCTGGCTGGCCGTGCCACCCCTTCCCTCTGCAGAGCTGCAGTGAAAGCTGCCTTTGTTCACCCAGTGCCAGCACCCGGCCCCTCTGCTGGGTGGAGCAAGCCCAGGAGGGAGTGCCGGCTGCTTGTTTAAAGGGCTGCTGGCTGACCAGCTGGCAGTGGGGCCCACAAGACTAGGGCAGGTGGGAGGGATTGGGGATCTGGGAGTGACCCAATCAGTGCATCCTGTGCTGACTCTGCCAGCCCCTTAGCCCAGCTGGGGCACCCCTTCCAGGGTGTACACCATACTCAGGGGGTTCTGAACACATTAGCTCCTTCCTGCTCTGGGGCCAGCTGGAGGCATGGAGAGGCTGCAGGGGTGGTAGTTGTGGGAGGCATGAGTGGGTGCAGACGAGGGGGGTGTTAATAGGGGGAATCTGAGTGGGTGCCGTGGGCAGGAGAGTTAAGACAGGTCTGGATTTGAAACTCTCGGGCAGGGGAGACCGTCAGCACTATCTCTAGGGGCTGCTGTGCTGGCTGAAACCTATTTGGGGTGGTATTTAAAGGCCCTTATTGTGCTGGGCACAGAGCTACCCTGCCCCCTCTGCAAGGCATGGCACTGAGAGACCCAGAGCTCCCCCTCTGCCTTGCTGACCTGCCACAATTTCTCTCCTGGGCCTCCCCCCCCCCCCCCCCCCCCCCCCACCAGCTATTCTCCTCTTGCTCTTTGTGCCTCCTGCTGGGAATCTGCCCTCGGGCACTGTACCTAGTGTATGGCCTGGTGGGGAGGGCTCCTCCCCCTGCTCCTTTCAGCCCCTGTGCCGCTGCTCTGTTCTCTTACACCAGTCTGTGCCCAGGTGGGCACTATGACTGAGGACTCAGGCGCTGGGCTGTGCCTTGCGGAAGCCTCCAGTCCCTGGTGTTGGTGTGAGTCCCTCCCCTCTCCCCGCAGGGCCCCAGATTGTGCCCCCCTCAAGAGCAAGATGATCTACGCCAGCTCCAAGGATGCCATCAAGAAGAAACTCACAGGTGAGTCGAGTCCTGCACCCCTAGCAGGCCATGTCCTGCCACCTGTGGGGCCCCGGCCCATGGCGTGTGAATGAGTTGGCAGCTCTGCAGCAGGACGCCGGCCCAGCCCCATGGTTGTGCTGCTAGCCCCTCTGAGTGAGGTGCTGTGTGACTTGAACCTCGTGGTCTGCCTGTGCCTGCCAAGGCCAGGTGGAACTGCACTCTGGGGGTGGCCTGGCGATGCCGGGACTCCTGGGTTCTATCCTAGCTCTGGGAGGGAGCGGAGGCTAGTGGGGTACAGCCATTCAGGGGCGGCCCAGGGGTCTGGATCTGGTTCCTTGATGTGCTCTGAGGCTATCCCCCACTCTTGGATGGGGGTGTCAATTCCCTGGTGCATGTAACCCATTGGGAGATGTTAAATAAACACAGTCTCTGATGGGCCAGTGTGGTGGGGGAGGGGCCCCTCCTGGGATGGGGCGGAGCTGGGAGTTCTCAGGCCCCCAGTCAGATGGTGCCTTTGCTAAGGCTACAGCAGGGCTTCTTGGCCTGGGGATCACAATCTCACTGCCCTGCCCATAGGGAGTGATTGGGGTGCGGGGGCTTGGATCTGGGAGGGAGCGGAGATTCTGGCTGGATCTCAGCTAGATAGGTGTTGATCTCCAACCCAATGCTTGCCCTAAGCTTCCCCATTTCTTTCTTCCCCCACCCCCAAGGTATCAAGCATGAGTTGCAAGCAACCTGTTACGAGGAGGTGAAGGACCGCTGCACCTTGGCCCAGAAGCTGGGCGGCAACGCCGTCGTCAGCTTGGAAGGGAAGCCCTTGTGAGCCGCTCCCAGTGCCAGTTTATACCGGAGCTTCCATGTTAATCAGTCCTGTGCTACCTTTTTTGGGAGGGTGGGGGTGGGAGGGCCGTTGGGGGGTGGGGTGGGATAATTCCTTAGATAATGTTCCGATTCTTTGCCTCCTAAGTCTCCTTCTCCGGTTTGCACGATCAGAGTCCCCAAGACACTCCACGGCCCGGCCACAACTGCTGTGCAGGGCACCTGCCAAACCCACTGCCTCCTCGGTTACCTGGAACTTCCGCCTTGGAGACCAAGGGGACCATTCCCTGGGCACTGTAGCTTCTCCTCAAGGTCCGGGGCTACTCCACCATCAGACGGGACCATGCATTGAGCTCTCTAGCTTGATGTCTAGAGACACCAAGAAGGGCCCATTCTTGGAGCACTGGAGCTCAGTCTTGGGACTGTTCCACCATTCATGGGGATCATCCCCTGAGCTCTGTCTAGTTCTGGGACCATTCCCCGTTTCCATTCCAGTAACGTCTCCTTCAAAGGTTGATCAGGGACCAACTGGCTTCATCGTTATGTTGCCCTCTCCTGACAGCCCATCTCAAATCCTCCATAGGACTGAGGTCTTGATGGCCAGTCCACTGCTGGCCAGGGTGTTCCCAAAAGGGGCTAGTGAGTGAGGGACCCTCCAACAGCCAACCCCAGGTCTTGAGCCACTAGCAGTTTCTGGTGGAAGGTGACATCCTAGGAGCTCCTCTTAACTGCATCCCTGTAGCCTCCTCCTGACTGGAATTAGAAATTTCTGGTGTGTGTGAATTTTTTTTTAAGGGTTTTGTGTTTTGAAACAGTGAAAGATGCCGATTCTCTCTGGCCCCACCGGGAGAGCTGGGGGTGTCCCCGGAAAGCAACCCCCTGCTGCCAACGCGTCCATGACTTAGTGGCTTTGTGCTTGTCTGTAGTACTGTGTATAAATGGAATATTGTGGAGAAACTTGCAAAATTTAAGTAACTGGAGGCTGGGACACACCCTTCCAGTGGAACTTACTAATATGGAAGCAGCACCTGTAATGACCTTCAATTAAAAAATGAATGCTAACAAGCTACTGCCCTTCCTGGTTTTATTTGGAAGGTTTGAGGCCACCAGGGAAACTGAGGCAGAGGGACATTAGGGCTGGAACTAGTACCCAGGAGTCCTGGCTCCTGGGAGCCTGCAATCAGTGCTGAGCCTTGGGTGTGGGTGGCCATGGGAGCTGGGTGTGGCTGTTGCTTATAAGTAACAGCACCTGCCTTTTCTTGTAAAACACACAGGAGTGCAGGGGACCTGGGCAGGTCCTGCCCTAGGCAGCTAGACTGCTCCCCACCCCCTTCCTGAGGCCAGCTCCACCTGTCTCCGGTCAGTCAGGCCTGGCGTGGTGCCCTAGCCCTCTTGCAGCTGTTCATAGTCCCATGCTGGATGTGAAGGAGCAGCGGTGCTGAGACCTGCAAGCATCTCCCTCCGTGTAGTGTCTCCTATGGAAGCCCTGCATTAGCCTGGCCTGGGGGTGGATAAGGGCTGGGGGGGGGGGGGGGCAGGCATAAATCACAGCTGGGATCAGCCCTTTGCTCCTTGGACCTGCCAGCAGAGTGCTCAGGGGGTTGGGACTATGAGGGGGACAATGGTGCTGCCCCCTCCCTGCTCTCACCATCTCTTGCTGCCCCCAGAAGCCACCCACAGCTTCATCCTGTGTGGAGGGAGAAGGAGGCTAGCATTACCCCACAGGAGTGCAACTGGCTAAAGCTAACCTGCTCTAATCCACCAGCCCCCGGGGGGGGGAGCTAGAACCCAGGAGTCTGAGCTAACAGTCGCCTTATGGTCTAACTGGACCATAGTTGAGTGATACTTGGAAGGGTTTGGGGTGGGGCAGGAGCCAGGATCCCTGGTTGTGTTTGAAGGTCTCCTTTCCTAGTGCTAGTCCCTGCCATGCTATGTACAGCCTTAGCAGGGGATGGGGCCTGAACAGGTTCCCTGCCTTCTGGGGTGTATTTCCTCACATGGGGAGCCAGGGGAGGGGAGAGCTCTTCCTGGCAGCTGTGTTGGCCCTGCTGGGGGGAGGCCAAGCCTCTCTCACCCCACACCAAGGCCCAACCTGGGAGTTCACACCAGTTTGGGATGCTAGGCCAGCTTCTCTGCTAGGAGTGATCAGCTCAGAGTGCTGTGATCGAGCAATGCAGGAGCTGGGGCTCTGGACAAAAGGCTGGGGCTGGTGGGAGTCAGGGTGAGCAACCTTTGAAACAGGGAAGTTGCAGCAGCAGGGGAGGAAGCAGGGCTGGGGTGAGAGCCTTGATGCTGTGGGGGGCTGAGCCCTAGCTGAGCCTGGGCAGGTTTGCAAAGGGGGGGGGGGTTGATAATGAGGCTGCAGGGGGTGGAGCTGGATACAAAATGGGCCTTTATTGGGGGAGTTTGGGGCAGGGGGGTACAGAGCTGTGGATGGATAGAATTGAATGATAGCCACCAGGCTGTGGTTGCTTGTCGTCCTACTGCAGTTTCACACTTCCCCCCCCATCTCACACCCCTTCCTCCCCTCATTCTGCCCCTCCCCCCTGCATCTGGTTGCTGGGAGATGGCATCTAGCCTGGATTCTTGTGCATGGCTAGAACACCTCCAAATCAGAGGACTGGAAGGGACCTCAAGAGGTCATCTAGTCCAGTCCCCTGCACTGAAGGCAGGACTAAGTATTATCCAGGAAAATCTCTGACAGGTGTTTGTCTAACAGGCTCTTAAAAATCCCCCATGATGGAGATTCCACAACCTTCCTAGGCAATTTATTCCAGTGCTTAACCACCCTGACAGTTAGGAAGTTTTTCCTAATGTCCAACCTACACCGCCCTTGCTGCAATTTGAGCCCATTGCTTCTTGTCCTATCCTCAGAGGTTAAGAAGAATTTTTTTCTCCTTCCTCCTTTAAATAACCTTTTATGTACTTGAATGCACCTTAACATCCCCCACCCCATGTGGTCTTACTGCAGTGGGGAGGTGGGGGACAGAGGGGAAGGGGCTCACCTAAGACACACAAAGACCTGTCTCCAAGCCCTCCTGCTCTAACCTACTATACCTCACTGTCCTTCCAAAGCTGGGGATAGACCCCAGGAGTCCTGGCTCCCAGCCCACTCCCCTCCTAAAGGAACTCTAGGTTGCAGCCCTCTCTGGGAGGCCAGGGGGAGGAAGTTAATGGGTGTTGGGGGGGTTGCCCCCACAGTCAGATGGGGCCCCCCAGAGTTGGCAGAGCAGGTATGGGGGGGCTGGAATGCCAACAGGGTTGGGGCAGGGATATATGGGGCTGGATTATGAGGCAGCAGTAGCGCTGGGGGGGGGTCTCTGCACCAAGGCGCTGAGAGGCCCCTCCCCCAGGTGCAGGGCTGGGTGGTAGTATCAGGCGTCGCCCTTCAGCACAATCAGGGTGTTCCGCAGCAGCAGGCTACTGGCCTGGAAGAGAGGGGAGGGGGTTAGGGGAAGGGGCCTGGGGCTGTTAATATAGGGGGAGGGGGAGACCCACCCCAGTGCAATGCTCCAGGGGAAACCGGGACCCCAAGAAAACCTAAAATGACCCACCCCACACCCCTCTCACAGCTGGGGACAGAACCCAGGAGTCCTGGCTCCCAGCCTAACTGGGAGTGGCATTGCAGGCACTGAACCTGTACGAGGACCCAAGTGTGTTGCACTGCTTCCCCCTGCAGGCCACACCTGGGTATTGCAACTGAGGACAGGGTCTGTGCTGATGGGGGGCATGCAGGTGATTGGGGGGAGCTCAGACAACCCTCCAGCCCCCCACCCCAGGGTGCAGAGGTCATGGGGGGGAGGAACAGGGCTCCCCAGGGGCTTGGGGAGGCAGAGCATGCCCTGGGTGAGGAGGGTAAGAAAGAGATGGGAGCTTCTGAAGGGTCCCAGTTCAGGTTTGGGGGGGAGGCAGGTAGTTGGGGGGGGGGGGGGGGGATCCCCAGGGGTTCCCAGCCAGGGTTGAAGGAGTTTCTGGAGGGTGGGGGGGAAGTGGTAGTTCTTGCAGCGCCATACTCAGGCTGGGGTAGGGGAGTTCCCAAGGGCTAACAGGGAGGTGGGTGGGCCCCAGGCAGGGTTGCAAGATTTCTGGGGGTCCCTGATACCTTGGCGTGTTTCAGCTCCAACTCCGCCAGCTCGATCAGGTTCTTGCGAAATGCGGAGATTCGACGTGACTTGAAATCAGTCAGTTCTGCCCCAGGAGAGAGAGAGAGAGAACCCAGGAGATCTGTATCCTAGCCCCCTGCTCTAACCCATTAGACATCCCCCCGACTTCCCCTCCCAGAGATAGGGACAGAGCCCAGGAGTCCTGGCTCCTAGCCCTTCTGTATTCACCTTGCTTGGCAGAGGCTGATAGCTGTTCAAAGCGCTGACAGCACAGCTGCTGATGGGTCTCAGCCGGCTTCACCTCCTTGTTCCTCATGCGGGCTCTGTCCAGTGCCTTGTTGGCATTCTCGTAATCAGCCAGTGCCCGCAGGCGCCGGTACAGCAGATCCTGGGGACACAGACAGTTATACATCTCCATGCCCCACCTCAGAGGTGGCTGCATCTCAGTGCTGGGTGAGGGAGCCCTATATTAACAGCCCCAGGCCCCATCCCAGAGGCGGTTGCATCTCTGCACCGTGCTGCCTGTACCTTGGCTGCCTGTGAGTCTCTCATGTAGTACTTGAGCAGGTCAGACAGTTTCAGATCCTCATCTGATGCCACACGGCCCTCCAACTTCTGGGGAGGAGAGGACAGAAGGGGGTGGGAGGTTGATCAGCAAAGGGGGTGTGTGTTAATCCCACAGTTAATCCTGAGCCTCTACACCCCATCCTTCTGAGCTAATGTCACCCCCTCAGAGGTCCCCAACATCCAGCCATAGGGGGCGCTAGCAAGTGGGGGTGGAGACCCCCTGAGAAGGGGGCTGGAGGTGCAGGATGGGGGCCATGAAGGCCCTGCCTCCCCACTGCAGAGTCTATGGGGTGCGGCTGATCCTGGTTGTGCGGTTCAGAGGAAGGTGGGGGACACCAGGAGATTGGGGAGGTCTGGAGCATGAGGAATGGTGGCAGAGCATTTGTGTGTGTGGGGAGGTAG